CACCCCACCTCAATTTTTGCCAGCCACTTCTTAAGGGAGCCAAACTTCATTTCTAAAGGTATTTTAACATTATTCAATTAAATGGAACATTTATAAATTGGTTATAAGGGAAAAGATCAATACTGGAGTTCCCATGGAAGGTTTCTAAGAAGAAGTGGGCCTCAGAGAATTAACAGAATTGAACTAAGTAGAAAACTAGACTGGGCAGAAAAGAGCAGGAAAGGAAGGGGTTTGTTTGTTTGCCAAGCAGAGGAAAAAAATACTAACAGAAATGCAGTGCATGGTGTGTAGGGATGGTCAAAACCAGGACTCAGATTGAAAATTAGAGGTAAGAATGGCTGGCTGGGCGCGGTGGCTCACGCCTGTAATCCTAGCACTTTGGGAGGCCGAGGTGGGTGGATCACGAGGTCAGGAGATCGAGACCATCCTGGCTAACATGGTGAAACCCTGTCTCTACTAAAAATACAAAAAATTAGCCAGACATGGTGGCGGGTGCCTGTAGTCCCAGCTACTTGGGAGGCTGAGGCAGGAGAATGGCGTGAACCCCGGAGGCGGAGCTTGCAGTGAGCCGAAATCGTGCCACTGCACTCCAGCCTGGGAGACAATGAGACTCCGTCTCAAAAAAAAAAAAAAAAAAAAAAAAAAAAAAAAGAATGGCATAGTAGAGTTAACTTAGGGAAGTTCTTAGAAACCACAGTAAAAACATGGCATTCTGCCATTTCCTTGTTCATTATATTCCCACCTCCCTTGTTTTTCCTTTCCTTCTTTCTTTCTTTCTTTTTTTTTTTGAAGGTGTCTGTCATGGTCCATGTGTGAGTGGATATTTATTTACCTTCCATGCCCCACACATGCGTATCCCACACCCCAGGGGATTCAGGCACATATTCAGCAGCACTACCTGTCACCAGCCTACTTTACACAGAGAAAGCTGCCTCTTTTTAGGATTAGTGTTTGATTCTGAATAGAAATCTCATGATTTATGCTTCTTTGCAAAGTACTGGTGAAGTCTTACCACTTTTTAATATTAAACTTTGTGTGAAATTTTTAGATATTTAATTGTTTATGGTCAAGGTTCTGGCTTGTGTGTTAGTCATCTCCCAGCTAACAGTCTCTTGGCAGGCCATGCTTAATTCAGTTATTGCATGTTAACAGGTTGTTTGAAATTCCACATTGCCTAGAGTTTTTCCACCTCCAATGTCCAGACACTTTTTCTGGCTTCTCCAACCCTTCTGGGCATTCAGAATCATAGTTTACTGCTCATGTTTGAAGCCATTTAGCTCTTTCCTTTTTATTTGCCTGATTAATTTTGAATTTGAATTAATCATATTTTATACCCTTTTCCTGACTCAGTTCAGTGTTTATCTCATTCTTGTTTACTCAGAAAGCCCAGAACATAAGATTTGAACCATTTGTGCAGTGCCCAAATGTGTGCTGATGGAAGAGTGAACCTTTAACGTTTTCACTCCAGTACTATTCCATTTGGTTCTATTTTTCCTAAATAAGTCATGGTCTTTTTTCATTAAATTTACATTTACAAAAATGGTTCATCAGTCTTTGCACATAACTCAGCTCTCACAACTCGCTGATCTAATGTTGACCATGTTCTGTTTTGTCATAAAACCCATGATTTTACTGCTTTCTCTTTACTAGAGCCCTGCATATTAGCAGTGAAGACCTGGTCCTTAATGAAAGGGTGTGGTCCATCCTCAGTGTTTCACATCCCTGCCTGTGTTTTCCTTCAGGAGACCTTCCTTTCCTTCCCATCTAAGCCAGAGTCTTCTCTGTTTCCGCAGTTAAAACTTGATCTGATAATTTTTATTCACCCTGACGGGCAAATTGTAGGCAATGATTGAAGGTGCCTTTCTTCCCAGGGGTGGCCGGAACTCAAAGCCTTAAAGTAAAGGGTAGCAGGAGCTTCATCTGCCACGATTAAGAGGAGTTTTGGGGGCTCTCTGCTGCTCCTGGGTGCGTACTGTATAAACAGATGCCCAGCCACCAAGGGGAGGGACCTGCGAAGACCGTGAGTTACCACAAGCTGGTGGCCCTCCTTTAATTTTGTTAAAATTGTGTCCTCCTTTAATTAAAATCATTAAAGCCTCATCAGTAATGATGAGATTGCCTCACTAACTGTCCAAGGGTGTTAGTACTAAGCCACCCAAAGAACCTTTTTATAATGTCTCATAGAGTAGACCAGAGAATGTTGCTGTGACTCCTTTATCCTTTATAGAGGTGTGGCTATGTTGGGACTCCTAATGGCATGTTACCCCAAACGCTGAACTATCCAACTTGTCAAGGAGCTTCCTGACTTCAGCTTCAGGGATTCACATGCTATCTGGTAGAGTCGTCTTCTAGCAATGCTGATAGTTTCCTTGGTCCAGAATTTGTTACCTTCAGAAGAAGAGTGTGAGGAAGAGATCCCATTTTAAAGCCACCTAGACCAAACCTAGCCTGAGTCTCCTTCTGGTTGGGCTTAAGATGACATTGCCATTCCAACCATGGCTAGGAACTCCTGAGTCTTGGAATCAGATCACAGCTTTACATGTTCCTCAAAGCATCTGAGCTTATATTCCCAGGTTTTCCATCTCTTCTTCATATTTAAAGCTTTAAAAAACCCCAGTTATCAGTTTAAACTATAACAGGCACATGGGCTCTAATGACTTCTGCAGGTGGTTTGGGCCGTATTAGAGAACTTGGTCTTGATCTTAAACTGTCATCTGGATTCTGAGTTAATCCAGGAAACCAGTAAAAATTAGTAATGTGTATTGCATGTCTCTGATACATGTGTTTTCCATTATTTGGTCTTCCACAGTGCATGCGCGTACACACACACACACACACACACACACACACACACACACACAGCCCTTCAGTTTTTCTAAAATGGGGAGAGAGGGACTATGGTTCCAAAAGGAAATGACTGGTGTGTCGCCTTGAAATCTGAACTTAGTCACGCGTCCTAAATGAAATGACTCCAAGCACATTAACAAGATTTCTTTCTTTCATCTCCTACTTTTTGGAAAACACTGTGATAAGAAACATTGGCTAACTTATAGACTTTCAAATTTATTTCTGTAAAGATAAGTAATAGCCATTGCAAAGCAGCCGTACTTGTGAAATTGGAGTTAAGCTTCCGTAACAGTGGTCTTAAAGAATAGGTAGGGTTAGTTAATACATAGCAGCAACCAGCTGTTCTTCATCCCTGCTGAGGCTGGGAAAGAAGGAAATTAACTTCAACTATAATGGAAGAGATTTTCAAGACTGGTAATGGGAAATTTATCATCAATGAAGACTATTTTAAACATTGGAACAAATGAGTGACCAACAGAAGTGGAGGAATTATGTATTCTGTTGGATTTAAAATAGAATATATCATCTGCTCAAGGCACTTAGAATTGGTAGATTAGAACTGTCTAGTAATTTTTAACTTTTGGGGGCCACAGACCCCATTCAGAATCTGATGGCCCCTCTCTCCAAAAACATGCACACACAAAACTTTGCATATGATTTCAGGGAACTTACAGACTCCCTGAAGTCTATAAATTAGACCCAAATTTAGGACACCCTGGACTAGATGATCTCCAAAGTCCTGTTTTAGCTCCCTAAGTGACAAGCTCCACAGCGTAGTTGTCCTGTACGTAACAATGGAATCTGAAGATCAAATGTCAGACTTTGGATTTTCTTCCTCCAGATTTGTAATGCTTGGCATGCTCAGTGTCAAAGTTAAAATTTTTTTTTAAAAAAGTAGAATAGAAATAATTCTACATTTAAATTCAATTCTTTCTCTTGAAAAAGCCAAATGTTTAATTTTAAAAATCATTGGTTGGCTGTGTGTCATCTTCGTAGAAAGGCAGTACAGAACTAGGCTGTCGCCAGTAGTTCTTCCCCAGCCCCACACCCCGCTCTGGATTCATAGATGAAAATGCCAAACTCAGATGCCTTGTTACCTACTCAGAATTCTTCCATGTTCACACATCTTTTTACTGTATTGCTGTGATTATTCAGCTGGGCTTGAAAAATATTATCTATTTATAATTTTCTCATCAGTTTTATGTCTAAGTTTCATTGACTACAAGTTGGAAAATGACCACCCAGAATTACAAATCAGAGAGTAATTTGGTCCTCTCCCTAAAATCAAGAGCTTTTATCCTCGTAGGAAGTAGGAGTGGAATATAGTCTGTGTGTGTATTTAAACTCATGATAATGAGTTGCCCCTTATGTAGAAAGCATGGCTCCGCATGGTTTTCCCGTTCCCTCTGCACACACTCTCTAGCTTACCTGCCAGTTCTATAGACTCCCTTTAATTCCATGTTGGAATTGTACTTGACACTTTGTGCCTGGAATCAGGAACTCTGGAAATAAAGATCTCCTCAATATGGAAGAGAAGTGATCTCTGGAAAAGAGCATAATTGTCGGATGTCTATAACTTGTCAGTTTTCACTGTACCTCGCGCTCCTAATGGCAAACCTTTACATTCGTAGTTGGAAGTGTCTTAATGAAGTCGGAAATATTACTGATGAATAGGAGCTAAGCACACTTGGCCAGTGTCTCCTTACCATTCCCATGGAATGCTGGTCCTTTTGACGGTTGTTTCTTTCCATTGTTGAAGGCAGGAAAGAGGACTTAGGAATTCTCTGTATTCCCCACTAAAAACCCCTTCTGTTCCAGTTGCTGTAACCAGAGTAATACACTGCACGGAAAGCATGCAAGATATACGATGTCTGTGGACAGATGCTCTGTGGCGTTATTAACCCTGGCAGTTGCTTTAGCCCTTGTTTAGTCAATGGAGGTTGTTTGGGAGCTAGAATTGGGAGAGGACAGGCCATCCTGGCACCCTGCCCACCTGTAGCTCTGCTTAGTGACTGAGAGTCCCTCTCTACCCTTGAGAGTTTATTGACAGTTCACAGGCTTAAAACACATTTCTGTCTTTCTGGGGCTAAAGCTTATGGCAGAGATGCACATTCTATTGAATATTTATTCTTTGTGTGTATTCCTGCCTGCAGAGAATGTGATCAATGGGCAGGACTACGAAGTGATGATGCAGATTGACTGTCAGGTGATGGACACCAGGATCCTCCACATCAAAAGCTCATCAGTTCCTCCTTACCTCCGAGATCAGCAGAGGAATCAAACCAACACCTTCTTTGGCTCCCCTCCCGCAGCCACAGAGGCAGCCCACGCTGTCAGCACCATCCCTGAGTCATTACAATAGCACCCTGCAGCTATGCTGGAAAACTGAGCGTGGGACCCTGCCAGGCTGAAGAGCAGGTGAGCGAAGTGCTGCTTTCTGCCTTGGTGGCAGGCAGAGAACTGTCTCGTACTAGAATTCAAGGAGGAAAGAAGAAGAAATAAAAGAAGCTGCTCCATTTTTCATCATCTTCCCATCTATTTGGAAAGCACTGGAATTCAGACACAAGAGAACAATGTTTCTTCAGTGACAAATGTAGCCCTGCATCCTCTGGTGTTACCTGGTGTAGATTTTTTTTTCTGTACCTTTCTAAACCTCTCTTCCCTCTGTGTTGGTTTTGTGTTTAAACAGTCATCTTCTTTCAAATAATATCCACCTCTCCTTTTTGCCATTTCACTTACTGATTCATAAAGTGAATTTTATTTAAAGCTATGCCGCACATGCATGTTCAAATGGTTTCCACTGATTCGATTTTTCATTCATTTAATGCAAACTCATTCTGGATATTGTGCTTATTTGAGAAAACACATTTCAAAACCAAAACAGCCAAAAACACTCCAAAAACAGTCAAAACAATTGGGAGCTTTCTAAAGGAAAAACTCCCAGTTGGTAAAGTTTATCTTTACTTAGGATTTGTGGCTCACACCTAAACAAAGGGGGTCAGGGAGTGTGTACAGATTTGAGAAAATAGAAGGGTAAGGGAAGGGCCAGTGGTGGGGTTCGAAGAGAGGAGATAGCTCTATTAATACACATGTTTAAAAGATAGAAAGTTTGATGTGATTGCAGTATGAGATTAAAGCCACAGCTATTGTTTATTTTGAGGACTCTAGGCCACTAAGTATTAGCACACATACTTATATTTTCTCTTTACTAATCTGGTATAGGTCCTCATGGACCACAGGACAAAGCTTTCATTTTCATTCATTCTTCTATTGAAATTATACCAAAATCAGCTGAGGAACATGGAAGTAACTTTAGACTTAAACAAGACAAAAGCTTTTTCACTGGAGAATTGACAAGTATTTGCTCCTTAAAACAATCCCGATTACTGAATGTGGATTCCTGCTGAGGGAGTGTATCCCATAATATGGCAATGATTTTCACTTTCTCGAATGAAAAGACAGTGAAGGAATTAAATCTTTTGTCCTCCCATGGTTAAAAAAAAAAAAAAGTTGTGTTCATTTTTACTGTACTATGCCTCTTTTTTCACCATAGTAGACAATTATGTTTCATTTGATAAATTCATAGAAATGGATCTGAGACAGTGATGTCCTCTCTAATGTGCTGCCTTCAGTTTCTAAAGTGAGTCTTCCTCCCTCTCCTACAAAACTTCTCCATTTTTTGGTGTAACTCATCTACAAACACTGTTTCTTACCCCCATTGACTTGCCTTTGTCAGATTTATTCTTGTTCCACACTATAGCAATCAATTTCTCTTCTTGCTTGCAAGAAAGGGAAAGAGAAATTATAGCAACCTCTCAAGGATTATACATAGCTAGTTAGTTTTCTGCCTGTGAAATTAGGCCTGGCTCCTAAATAATTTTAAAGAACCATCAGCACTTCTAACTCTCTGTACTGGTGCCTCTTTGTCCAAGCTAGTTAAATGCTTTCCAAGGAAATCAGTTCAACTTTTGTGAGCAGGGAAAAGAAGGGCTTTATTGTTGTATTACCTGGGATTCTGGAGTTTGAAAAGTGCTAATTAACCTTCCTCTTTTTGCACATTACAAACATTTTTAAGTCAGTGCAGCACTTCCCTTAGATTTGGCTATCCTGGGTGATTTTCAGACAAGAACCATTTTCCCTGGGGACCATTCTTCTAATGGGTGCCAAGGAATATAAGGCAAATGCCCAGAAGACCTTCAGGTAACTGGGCAGTCTTATCGTGGGATATTTCTCCTGCCCCTGCCCCTTCCTATTACTGTAATATGAATTAGCCACACCAGAGGCTGTGACCATGGCTAGTAGACAGTGGCAACGTAGTCATCCCCAAGCTGCTCATTTGCTGGAACTGTCATACGGTATCATGGTCAGTGTAAACCTGGTTTGTGTGGGGTGATTATAAATAGAGTTTCCCTCCTCTCCGTGATGTAGAATCACAGGAGAAGGACCTATCTCGTGGCCTTCTTCTTAGCGCTTCACTTTTACTTCATCTCTCGATTCCCAGCTTTTTCTGTGATCATTTTACCAACTCCTCAGATGGAAGATTTTGGTTATGTCATATTCACCAACGTTAGTCCCTGTCTTCCAGGTGAAAAGGTGGGTAGCGGTTGGGAGGGAGTCTCCACTGAAGAGCAGGAAGGTGGTAGCAGGCCGGCAGCCCTGCCACAGAACTAGGGGTGCCTGTGAGGTGCCGCCCAGAGCAGCCTGGGAGCTTTGCCTTCTTTTCTGTCTCACTAGCCCTTCCGCTCTTTGTCATTGCCTATTCTTGAATGGATCTTTGAGATGAGGGAACAGGATTCTCCTAAGGGTAGAGTTTTAGGAAATGAGTGAAAGGAAATTGACAAATGCAAAGAAGCAATCTACTTTCTAAATTGCTGGCAAAGCTATAATGAATCCCTAGGCACAATTGTAGTTTTTATTTTAATGTTTGTATGCACAAGGCCCTTTAGGAAATGAGAAGTTGCTATGCCAGATTAATTTTTTTTTTTTTGGGTGGGATTGCCTTTTGGGGGTTGCAGCCAGAAATTATGGGTAATAATGTGTATTTTTTATTTATTAAATTTTAAATGGGATTTTGCAAGCTTATGAGACAATTAGATAAACTCATGGAGGAGGCAGGTCCTCCTGTTATTAGATGATTTTGTACTCTTTGGGCTAACAATAATGCAGTCTCGAGAAGTAATGGTGGAGGCTGATAGGAACAGTCTTTCTGCAAGTCCCAAATTTTTAAGGCTTAATGGAAGTAAGTGGATGTTTCCTCATGTTACCTACTGAGTCAGATGTTAGGAGCTTGTCCCTTTGGGGTTGACTTATGTCCAGCAGTACAGGGACACAGCTTCGTTAGAGTGTTAGTGTAAACTAACTCCAAAGTTAGGAGTCAATGTGAAAGGATCAACCTTGAAACAAATCTGTTGTTTGCCATGCTTGTAGTACAGAAATTTCACATTGAGTTTTGGGTGAGATTTGTGTTTTCACAAGTAAAAAATCCCCCATAAATATAAAACTCAGACCATAATTATAAAACTCAGAGCATCATCTAATTTAAAAAAAAAAAATGACTACAAGTTCCAGCACAAAACTGGCATTTCTTTGCCATTTCTTGCCAGTAAGAAGTAGACATGGAGGTATTTGAAAGCAGTGTTATGTGAGTCATTCTTAAGTGTTCCAAGCAAAGTTAGAAACAGACAAGGAACTTGGGATTCAAATTGATTTTTCAAATCATTTTTTAAACAAACATCATCCTGATTAAATCCTCTTGGCCTGAACCTTCCTCCCCAGTGTGTATTCCCCGGTAGTCACCGCGGCAAGAGGCTGGTGAGACTGCCGTGGCAGCATTTAGCATCGTTAAAACTGGAAAACTCTCAAGCTCTTTGCCACTTTCCTACTATTTTTTGATTCTTGCCATTTTACTAAGCTCAGGTTGTGAAACTTGACAGAAATGTATTACAGGAAAAACTTGTAATTGTATTTGACTTTCTGACACATTGCAAAGTTTCAAAGTGACTTTCACTTTCAACAACATATTAGAAGTAACCACTTTTGCTTTCACAGCCTGAAGAGCTAGAGCTGGATCCGATGCCCCCTTTCACTCTGAAGTCATGGGAAATTTTCCAGCCATGAAAGCCCTCTTTCCACGGCATACTAATGGGCTGACTCAGCTTCCTTCAGCCAACTGAGATCTTTTCATTGGCTGTTTGCTATTTCATACCAATTAACTATTGGCTATTTCATACCAATTAACCTCTTAAATAAGATTTTTAATTGCCAAAATTGATAAACACTTATTACCACCTGTGGACTCCATATTCCTTACCAAAAATGTTATTTTCATCAGTCCTGAGTCGTTTTAACTTACAGAAATTAGGATTGTTGCTGCTAATATGAATACCAATTATAACTTTTAAAAACAAGAATAAAGCCTAAAAGATAGAGAATGAAATATAAGAAATGTTCATTCCCACCCCTAATAACATTTGGAAGTGAATATTCCCATTTCCTTCCACCCACAGGGACTGGGATTGATTTTTAATTTTCTAGGAAATAATACTGGACTATCCAAAAAGATGTTGCCAGAATCCAAAAGGAACTATGCTTGTAAAAGAAAAGCAGTTTTCTCCTACCTAAAAAAAAGAAAGTAAAGTGTGTTCTGTTCTTATCTTTTTAATGACTAAGCTTAAAACAGTTTATTTTGGGTAAGACTAGAACTTTCGGCAGTTTGTTCTAATATCTGTGTTATTAGATGCAATCGAATTTATGCAAAGAAGAATGACAAAGGTATCTGATTAGGAAATTTGATCTTACGTATGAATCCATGTCATGGCCAGCCACTGTCACACAGTGGGTGCCATTCTCAACATATTGGTTTGCTAACTTTAAGCATTAGAGATTTAGCACACTAAAATACTTTTAATTATATTAGGCTTGGTAACTAAGGAGTAAATAAATCATAGTTTATCATTTGCCAAGGCCAACAAACAACACTGTTGTGCTGTTTGCTCTCAATGAAGTTGAATAAACCAGGAGGCTTGGCATATCCCCTTTATGTTAATCCCAGCTAGAGATTAGCAGGTTGACTTTCACAGCAATTGTATATTGGTCCATTTTAACTCATACTTGCCATAATTTCCAGGCCAGTCACCAGGACAGAGGAGATGATGGGGAAACAGAGCTTTAGATGAAAACTACTATGCACTACTAGCCTTTGAGGCACTGGTTTCCTGTTACCACTTCGGCAAGTATGGCTGGTCTAAGTCCAGTAGGGCTTCATCCATGGAGCCATTAGAACTAAGGAGGGAATGTCAGAGATACCATTTCACCAGGATCTTTTTGCTCAGGTTGTACCCATGCCAATTGAAGAACGTGTTAAAGATGAGGAGAGATGTACCATTCTCTCCCTTAATAATGATGTTGGTTTGCAAAACCTAAAGGAATAATAACAACAGACTATTTCATACTTTCAAGCAAGTCTTTATAATATAATACCTGTTATTTCTCTAAAATTCAAATAAAGAATTTTTAAACTTACCTTGTTTTATTCTGTTTGTAGAAAGAGAGAAAAAAGCCCCCAAATGAATCTTCAGTGTTGGGGGATTAGTAATGAGAAAGGAAACCTGAAAAGGCTTTGTGGCTTGTGTTACTGTTAAGATGAAACTGTTGAACTATTTTCCACTCTTCTCCCAAGCCTAATTAAGTAAAAATTTCCTTTATTTAAGTGTCCAGATATTCAAACTACAATCTTATCAAGGAAAAAAAATCTAAAAACCCATATTTTATCTTTCTATGTCTTCAGGAAACTGGGTTACTCAGTCACGCATTTTGTCCTCACCAAAGGCCCCTTCCCAGCTTGCAATGGCAAATGCCACCACACTTGAAACTAGTCACTGCAGACTGACAGCAAGGGATCCGTCCAGGAGTAATTAATGCAGGCATTTGCTGAACACCCAATGAATGCCTCTGACACTGGTTTAACTATATTATTTCAGTCTTCTCTACATCCTATTTTGTAAGATGGTTATTAATAAGTAATGGAGCTGGCCAGCTGCAGTGACTCACGCCTGTAATCCTAGCACTCTGGGAGGCCAAGGCAGGTGGATCACCTGAGCTCAGGAGTTTGAGACCAGCCGAGCAAAATGGTGAAACCTTGTCTCTACAAAAAATACAAAAATTAGCCAGGCATGGTGGCGGGTGCCTGTAATCCCAGCTACAAGCTACATGGGGAGCTGAAGTGGGAGGATCACTTGAACCCAGGAGGTGGAGGTTGCAATGAACCGAGATCACACCACTGCACTCCCGCCTGGGTGACAGAGTGAGACCCTGTCTCAAAATAAAAATAAAAAATAGTGGACCCAATATTTGGGCCCAGCCAATTATGTGAATTATTCACCACTATATTATTCCACCTCCTGATACATAGATCTGGCATAAGTTCATGCCCTAAAAGAGCTCACAGTCAGCCCATGGAGCCATATACATAAATTACAAAATGACAATAACATCAGGGTTCTCTGAGAGGCAAAACTACATTTGTTTCAGAAGATACTTTAATGGACTTATTTAGAAAATGAGACCCCCCCCCGCCCCGCCATCTAGAAGGAGACCAACCTCAAATCACCTCTTCTGCAGAGAAAGTTAGCAGAGATTGGAGGGTAGAGAGTTGACAGCAGAAAAAAGGAATGGGACCAAGTAATAGGGCTGGAGGCTAAAGACCCTGAGGGGAGTGTCGTGAAAAGACTCCCTGGTGGCGGGAGGGCAAAGGACTTTTACAAACTGTGATGCTGAAATGCAAATCCTCTTCATTGCCCCCAACTCTTCAGTAAAAGCAGATACACAGTTTTGTATCAATGTTGCCTTGGGAGTGAGAGACTGAGGGTGGGACTCAATGTGGTATAACTAGTGAAGAAAAAGACAGCACAGCAAGATAATTCATACACTGAAGTGTCAGTGGATGTCAGGTGAAACAGGGCAATAAAAACTGCTTCAACCCCCACCCCCCACCCTCAATCTTTATGGCATTGTCCCCCTGGGACTTCTCACTCTATGTGGGATATGGTTCAAGTCAATTTTTGAATCTCAAAGGGTAACCACAAATGACATTTGGTTTATATAATACATGGTATCACAAGTAGAGGGTTTCTTTAGCATTTACCCTGTAATTTACCTAACTGGTCCAATTTTGGTAGAGATTTAAATCCCTTCCAATGTTTTGCTCACCATAGGAAACCTATAGCATATTTCAGTCCATCACATTCATTCAGCGTGATCTGTACAAATGCCTAAAGAGAACCCTGCTCTTGGTTCAGTTCATAGTAGGAGCTGATGCTTATTGAAGACTTAACCTTCCAGGCATCATGCTAAGACTTTACAAGCATTAGCTCATTTGAGCTTTGCAGCAAGCCTTCATCATCGACATAATAATATTAATACCCATGTCTGTGAATTACAGATGAAGAAATAGTCACAAGAGATTAAAAACTTGCCCAGGATCTCACAACTAATACATAGCAGAGTTGAGATTTGAAATTAAGTCTGTCATGATTTTAAAGCCACATTCTTTCTACTATGCTACATTGTGGTTCATCCTTTGAAGTCATAAAGAGACAAATGAGCGAGGAAGAAATCAAGCCACACAACACGGGCAACCAGGGTGTTGAGGCATGTTCAGGAAAGAGGGAGAGTTGCTAAGAGGCAAGGTCCAGCAGTACCCAAGGGTTTTCTGTGAGTGACTCAGAAGGCATAACTCAATGCTGGCTGCATGCATAGCCCATGCTGGGCTGCTGCACCAATTCTTCTAGACCTCAGTCCTTGTCTCCATCTTGGATGAGTTACCCAGTGGAGTGGATACAAGCTGGTTCCTCCATAATTGAAGATCCTAGGCTCTCCCAACTCTCCTACTCTACTCATACCCAAGAGCCCACCCAAGTGTGGCATCCAGCTCCATCCCAGGATGTATCCACCGTCTGCCTTGTGATTACAAGTTCTACTTCTATAGAAAGTTTCCGTTGCAGATGTAACTGCTGATGTGGATGCTGGACTATGAAATAGAGATGCTTATGTAAGAGATCACTAATCTGCAGACTCAGAATTGAAATGATTTGTTTCAGAAGTGAAGGACATATCTTTAAAATAAATACAACACACCATATTAATAAATGGATCATCTTATAAGATTGAGTGCAGCAGTGTCAGTCCTAAAAGCTGTATCCATTTAGAAGGGGGACCTTGCCAGGCTAACAGAAAATACTGTTGCCAATTATTTACAATATGGTCCATATTTCTGCAAACATCAACTGGGTACAAAGGAAGAACTGAGAGCCTCAAAAGCCATCTCAGATGCTCCTTCCCTAGGTGTCCTGCTTGACTTCTGAAGCCTCCGAGGTTATCTCCATTGCCTGAGCACCTCATGGAGCTTCGATTCTTGGGCTGCATTTCTTCATAGTGGGCTAGAGGCAATGGCCCTGGAATTTAAACCTTTGCCACCAGTTCTAAGTGTTGTGTGAAGTTCTGACATCTATCATGGAGCTGCGGGAAACCATGTAGATGATGAACTAGACAACATCCTTGACGTGTCCTTCACATGTCTAGAGACATGAGTGATGTATCTTCCATGGGACTCGGTGGTCACCCTTCTGTCCCCACAGAAGAGTAAAGACCATTTCCAGGCGAGGGTAAGATTTCTGGTCAGCCTGAAAAAGAAAGTTCAGTTGGACACAAGCTGCTCTCAGGAGAGTTTGGGGGTGGGAAGTTCATGGCCAGCATATTTGTCATGAGCCAAGATCTCACCCACTCACTTGGCTGCTGGCCCCAGGACATCAAACAATCCATTTCGCCATATTGTCTCTGGTTTCCTGGTGCTGCTGGAATTCTCTTCTGCTAAGCCACTCGTTCACATCAGATCAACACGTTGCCCCTTTTAGCCTGGCAGCCTTGAGGAAGACAGAATTACAGCAACAATTACAATTCAACATTTAGAAAGCCACACATCCAGCTAGGCTGTTTCCATCAAATTGCCAGCTTGGGGGAGCTGGAAATTCATCTTAATTTAGACAATATGAGCAGGAAAGATGCTGAAACACTTAATCTCTTGTTTTAAATGGCTCTACAGGTCACCACTTAAGGGAGCACAACTAGAAGCACATTGCAAGTAGCAGCACGGTTGGGGCTGATTCCGTCTTCCCAGGATTTATCATCCGGCACAAGTCGGCAGGGCACGAACAGTCCAAAGAAGGAAAACGCCACTCATAGAAAGATTGTTTTCGTCGCCATAGCAGCATCTCATACTTCTCCTTTCCTGACTCTCATCGCCTTTGCAATTACCGGTTAAACATTTATCATCCCTGTGGGACAGTGAGCTCCAGAAGAGCAGGAACCCTACTTATGTCTTGAATTTGATTTTTTTCTCCAGTAGTGCTGTGGATATAGTGTGCTTGGGACATGGTGGTTTGGGCATTTTAGGCTAAATCAGGATTTCGTTGAATTATTGAGCATTTAGAAAGCCACAAATATATACTGTCCTTTCAGGAGTGTGTATGATAGACTGGCATTTGTCACATTGCACTGGCTACCGCACCCTATGCGGATATTCACAGGGCACAGAAGTTGCAGGATGTGCGATGCCCAATGCTGAGGCAGGACTGCAAGGGAAACAACAGAGATCCCTGCCTTCCCTTAAAAGACAAGGCATCATTAGTTTTCCTCTTCCCCTTTTCATTTCATCCTATTGCTTTTTCCTCTGACTTCAGTCTGTGGCATATTAGAAATGGGCCTGGAAAGAGGATGTAAACCAGCAAGTCTGCAAGTGGGGCCCTGAGACTGCAGCAGCACCTCGAAACTTGTTAGAAATGCAACTTTCCTGGCCCCATCCCAGACCCATTGAGTCAGACTCCAAGGCTGGGCCTAGTACCCTGTGTTTCAGCAAGCCCCCCAGAGGACTCTGAGAGGGGCCTGAGAAACACCCGTGTAGTTCCCTGTCAGCAAGGCTGGAGGATGGGAAGATCCAGACTCCGGCCAGAGAGGAATCTTCCCCCGGCTGCTATTGTTGGGGTGGGTGGGAATATCAGGATCACCTGAAGTCAGGAGTTCGAGACCAGCCTGGCCAACATGGTGAAACCCCGTCTCTACTTAAATACAAAAATTAGCCGGGCTTGGTGGTGCGCACCTGTAATTCCCACTACTTGGGAGGCTGAGGCAGGAGAATTGCGTGAGCCTGGGAGGCAGAGGTTTCAGTGAGCCGAGATCATGCCACTGCACTCCAGCCTGTGCGACAGAGCTAGCTAGACTCTGTCTCCGTTAAAAGAAAAAAAAATTGTGTGTGTGTGCTGCCTTTTTGGAAGTCCACAGGCGTTACATCTTCAGTATCTACAGCCTCCATTCCTGCTGCTGCTGCTGCCCTGGGTAGCTGCACTCCCAGCTGAAGGGCCTGAATCAGGCCTGTGGATATAGTGTGCTTGGGACATGGTGGTTTGGGCATTTTAGGCTAAATCAGGATTTCATTGAATTATTGAGCATTTAGAAAGCCACAAATATAC